CAGCACTCAGCAGCTCCAGATTCAGGTCCTGGGTTTGCTATAAATACCCTGCGTGACCTTGAGCGAGCCACTGTTGTCCTGTGACTTGGGTTTTCCATCTGTAAAACGGCAGTAATGATGAATCCTGTGTTTTATTGCCAGCTCTTACATTATGCATGTCTGCAGGGGAACTGCTCACTGAATCTCTTCATGGCTTGGTTCCCCATCTATAAAAGAGGAATAATAATACATCCCTTGTCTACTTATTTTGATTACAATCTTTTCATGTATGGGTGTACTTGAAGTACTGAGGGACTCTGCCACAATATGCAAACAACACATTTACCTCCTATCTTACTCCACACATGGTACAGTTCGACCCTTGAATGTGGGCTTGCAGAGTGGCTTCATGCTAACTCCCCTCCACTCCAGCGCGTCAGCTGCAGTGGCTTGACCTCGCAAGCAAAGCTGCTATATGAGTAACTAAACTGATCGGCTTGCACTAAAGCACATGAGAAGCCGTCACAGAGCGTACTGTGCTGGCTAAATTGCAGGGTAACATCATTGCTGTAGTCAATAGCAAACAACTAGGGGACAGAAGCATCTTGGATTCACAGTGCTATTTCTGTGGATGAACATCTAACGACTGGTGTATATCCAGCCCCCCACCTTTCACTCAGCTAAAACATACATCCATGACAGGTATCCCATCTTGATCTAAAACCTTTAGATCTTAAAAGAAAGATACCTGTAACAATTTTTTATGTTTGGCACATCAATTTAAATACAGAATATCTTCACGTGACTACTGGAGAGGTATTAGGATAAGCAGAGATATAAATGCCTACAATGAGCAAGCTTTTATCTTTGCTGCAGAGGTGACCTAACACCATGGTGACATGGAAGATTTAATATAGTGCACAGCTGAGGAGAGGAATTTTGCACAATATTAGATGACAGCGTTGTTCCATTGTTTAAGTACCATGGGCATTATTAGCCTGTCACAAGACTGGGGTACAAGCTCATAGACTGTAACTCTCACATCTGCCTTTGAACAAGGTTGACTGTCTAATCACGTATGTGGTACATCTGCCTGTAAACGTCAAACTTTTACAGCTGAATTTTGAGTAAAATATTCCTTCCAACCCTCCAGGCAGACACAACAGTCTTCGCTGCCTCCCCAGCTTGAAGTAAGGCTTGATTCACCTTGTTTGATTGCATTGCAGTAGCAGAGGAAGAGTATAGACAAGTTTGCAGGATCCATTCTACCATTTTCAGTGTGCAGAAGACCAAGGCAACATTTAAGTGTAGAGTAAAAGAGGACAGCGCCCACTTGGAGATGTGAATTTCTGTGTAATTTAAACATCGATTACTTAGGGCCTCTGCATGACCAACTTAATATTCTTTTTCAGGTATTCTTCTCTAATTCACTAGATTCTACAATCTGCTGTTATTTTGGTAAAGTTAGGTCAATATGAAAAGTCAGTTTGTTCGACTGAAGTTTTCTAGGGAGAGCTCTAGGGAGAGCACACAACATCAACAGTTTGAACCCAGAGAAAATAACAGCTCTCCTCTGCTTATATTTCCAATGGGTGCATTCACATTGTGGCTCATCAAAATAAAGAAATTATGGGCAACTGTGTCTGGTTTTCTTTTAAGGAAGTTGGAATATCAAGAGCTGGTTAAGAAAGAAACCAAGGGACTGCCTTTTAAAAAAGGCAGAGGTAAGCCTTCCTAACATCTCCCTGCCTTGCAGCACCACCTACAGAGAGGCTGTCAGAATCACACCCACTGCCAAAGCTCGGGAAACTCCCGGTTCACTGGCCAAATAAATCCTGGTTCAGTGAGTTCTGGAAACAGAGAGTTTGACAGCCCTGAAGCCTGAAAATCTTCTGCTACGGGATAAAGGCAATAATATGGTCTATTTCATCAAGAGCCCCTCAATTTCCATGCAGAATGCACCTCTACAAATGACAGGGCTAACCCTGCCACTTGGCTGATTTTTTCCTCTAGAAGCTTTCCTGCAGAAGAACTTTTTCTGGCAGCCAAGTGTCCCAGCTGCCAAAGGATGGTGGGATTTTCCAGGGCAAAATGTACTTAATGGTTCATTAATGCAGCCTTTGGCACAAGCTGATTGTTCAGCCTTCTGAGCAATCAGAAGCTTTCAGAAAACCACAATATTTCACCTCCTCCGTGTATCTACTCAATTACTCAAGATAAAATGTCATGGAAATTGATTTTCATCTGAGCACTGAAGCATAAGCTCTGTTTGCCCTTGACTTAGCTTGGGCAGCTAAACAGTAGTGATACAGGGTCTGGACTGTGAGACAGGAGTTTGAGAACACAATTTAAAAGCTGTTGTCTTCCTCCAGAAGCCTAATCTAAATGCCACAGTGGTAACTGGAAAGTTCCCATCATTTTGGATCAGACCCTGGCTGTGGGAGGCAGTGGGTGCAGGAATGTGCAAATGCAGGCAACATTGCTATCCCACTGCTTAGGGACAGCAGAAAAGAGCAGGCATTTTAAAGGCAGGAAGACAGAAACTCCAAACCCATGGCAGTGAGCTTCACCATCAAGAAACAACAGTCCAAAAAATTAACAGCATGTGCTTAAAAAGATATATTTAGGGACATACGCTGTCTCAGGAGGGGAAAATACGATCCTTTTCATGAACAGATTGAGCACTACCTTATAATGCATTTGTTTCACTTTGTCACGCCTATAAGAAAGATATAAGAGGACTTCATTCCTCTGAAGGTTAAACATTTTCTTCTCATTTCCAGCCTACATGTATTAATTATCAGACAGAAGAGATCTACTAGCTTTCTTCTGTTTGGAAACTAGTTACCTTTCAAAGTCATCAGATTAATCCAGCACTACCCACCTTCAGTAAGTGTATTTTAGCCCATTTCTATCTGCCATTGTGTCTGGTATTATTATTTCCTGCTAAATTTATCCAGAAGTCTCACATTTTACTTGGATTACCCTTTGATTATTTTTCCTCTTTTTAAACACTGGAACAATTTTTCCTGCTCTCAATTGTGTTGGGCTGCTCCTGCAGGGAGCAGGGATGCTGTTATACAGCCAAACAGAATCCTGATAGGCCAGTGCTGTTCGATGTCTGGGTCAGAAATTGGAATATGTCAGTTGAAAGAGACCTATAACAATCCCACAGTCCAAATTATCATCACATTATGATCTTTGTGCTTTGTTCCACTTGGGTGAGATAATTTCTATCTCCACATATTAATTTCCTCTGTGTACATTTCCACTATATATTATGCATTCATTTGTGTCCTGCCTCTCCCCCCTTCATCACTTCTACCCATTCTCTCCTTCATCTCTTGCTATGGACAACTGAAGAACATTTTGCTATTTGTTTTAATTTCTTTTGCAAGGTCTAACTCAGCCTTACTTCTGGCACATTTCACCTTACTCCTACACTTCCTAACTTCTAAGACATCATTTTCTTTGATTAATCTTTTTTTCCATTCCTTCTATTCCCATTGCTTGTTCCTAATATCCACTTTGAAGTGGTTATTCACCGTGTACAAGTCCCAGATACTTTTTATAGATTAAATTCCAAGCCTGCCCAACATTCAAACCTTTTTAAGCTGTCAGAAATCAGGAAGCAAAAGTTGTTTATTTCTGCTGTTTACCAACTTCCAGCACATCAGGCTTTCCATTGGGATTGTGTTCTCCATCCAACTGTGTGAGATATTCCAACCAGTTTTTCCAGAGTGTGAATCCAGAGCTAAAAGATCACGAGGCCCTCTGACAGCAGGAGAAATTCCTCTTGGCCTAAGCCATGGCAGCAGTGCAAGAGCAGGCTGGAAGCTCATTAGCTGAAACTGTTCCCATAGTATAAAAACCTGTTACACTAGATTAAAAATTAGCATGAAGAAATGGAGTATGCACATGTATTTGTAAAGCATTTGTCAGGCAGCCAAAATGAAAACAGATTTCCCCAGACCACGGAAAATGAAATGCATGCATTAGCCCGTGTATGAATGGAGCTCATTTCCTTGCTACATTCTGGTTTGGGGGGGTCTCTCCTGCTAAGGCAGAAGGGCTGCTTAAGAAAACTGCCCAAATGTCTTATAACAGCAAAGGAATTCTTTTTTCACAGTGTGAGTCTGCCCAGCGGCTCAGCTAAAATGAGGTAACATTTCCAAGCAGAGTGGATGTGATTGCAGGCACTGCTCCTACCTGATGGCCAGCGTGCAGCAGCTGCCCTGGCTGTGCCGGGCAGTGGCCGCTGCTGTTTTCACAGCATCAGGGGGGAAGATCACTTCAGTGCACCTTATCAAAAAGCCTCCTTCAGGAAGCCAGACCCAACATGATTTTTAGTGGCTTGTTCGTTTTCAGGGAACACCCCGATTTTTGAGTGGTTGGAGTCAGCAACACAAAAAAGCTGCGAGAGGTTTTTGGAAAACAGAAAATTCACTGGAAGCAAAGGAAATTTGGGGAAGGTGTGGCAACGTTCACAATATCAACAAAAATAAAAGATACCAAAGCAAAATGGTCATGCTACTGTATTCTGCTTTGAACCAGACTTGTGCCTTTTGAGGATCAATTGAGGATGCTCCACAGCAGTAAGATGGAGCGACTTAACCGGAAAAGCTATGGAAGCATGAAGCCGTTTGAGCAAGTTTACCCCCAGGAGAGGCAGAGCTCCAGCCCAGGACATGTGTGGAGACACGGAGGATGCCGTCTCCTGGCTCTCATCACCAACATAAAGCACACGTGCCCCACATGCCCCTGCCAAGCTCTAGGGTCAGTCAGCCCTAAGCGGGGCTCGCCACTGTTTGGGTTAGAGGTGGGTGGTGGTGTCTGCCCGGACCGCAGGAGGGCCGGAACGCCTGTGCGGCGGCCGGCGGGCCCGGGCGGAGCGGCGGCGGCAGCCAACGGGCGGTCCGGAAGACGTCGAGCGATGCACAACGCGGAAGTGAGCCGCGCCGCTGCTGGGGCTGCGGTCGGATCCGGGGGGGATGGATGGGGCCGGCGGCCGGCGGGGCCCGGTGCTCTGAGCCACCCCCGGGGCCTCGCCGGGAGCGGCCGCAGACGGCCCGCGGGCCCCGGGCTGAGCTAGGGCCGGGGGCCCGGCAGCGAGGCGCAGAGCGGCCGCGGGGCCCCGGGGCGATAGGCCATGGCCACCCGGCGTCTAACGGACGCGTTCTTGTTGTTGCGGAACAACGCGGTGCAGAGCCGGCAGCTGCTGGCCGAGCAAGTGAGTAGTTACGGCTCCTCCAGCCCTCTGAGTTCACGTAGCATGGCTGCTGCGGTGAGTCTCCTCCCTTCATCCTTCTGTACCCCGCTGCGCTAGGGCTGCCAGGCAGTCGTACCCTGTGCCCACTCCTCCCGTCTGCCCCCAGCCTTCCCCCCGGCCCGTCCCGGGTCTCCCCAGCGCCTCCTCTGAGCCCTCTCCTCAGAACCCCACCGTCCTCGCTACCTCCCCCCCCTCCCCTTCCCTCTCTCCCCACCTCGTTATACCCTTCATGTAAAATGAATAGAAGAGATCTTTGTGCTGAGCACAAATTCACCTTATGAATAATAAACAGTTATTGTTCTAATAACTTCATGTTAGCATTGACATGAGGTTTTTTGTTCATTGCACTTTCTGAAGTCTCCTTTCCACAAAGAAAAAAATCGAAGTTATTTTATAGACCAGAACTCTTCTATTCACTTCAGCGTGGGCACTTTTAAATACACTAGTGTAGATTATTCCCATTGCTTGAATTTTTCCATAATTTGCTCTGATGTTCGTTGTCCTTTTTATTTCCTGCCCCCAAATACAAGTAATACTGAAAGTCCTCTGTGAGAGAGGGGAGTCAGGAGGTTCTAGAGTAAATCCTCATTACAGAAACTTCAAAAAGCCATTTGTTCAGAGGCGGCTTATGCAGCTTCTTCTAAGGTTTGAGCCAGTCAGCCTGTGATGGACTGCTCAGTTCTGCTGGGTTTTTTACACTTTCCATTCAAACGTACCATTTATCTGTAATAGGCACCAGTATATATCTGCTGGCAGTCTCATCATTCTAAATTACTTTGCATTAATCCATTTTTGTTAGAAAAAGCAGTACTTTGTGCTGCAAATTTTATTTCAACTGATGAATTGCTTTTGAATGGTCTTTGTTCATTGTTAACTCTACACCTGTGACTAACAAGCTACGTATTAAATTGCATTTGCAGAGCAGGAGATGTCAATAGTAATGTGTATTATACATGTTTAATTTGGCACTGCATTTACTTCTTAACATGTTTTTTTGCCAGTAGCAACGTCAGTTCTTTAGATCCTTGGATTTTTTAAAATACACTGAGTAAAGTTAGTGCTAAACTTGCATACAGACTACTGAGCCCTGAAACTACACTTTTTCACAACAGCGAGTGCAGTAACACTTGGGACTTACATAAAACGTTTATTTGCAGTGTTCATTAATAATGATTGAAGCCATTTTCTAGGATGCTCATTCAGATGTAAGGAAAGGTAGCGGTGATTGGAAATTAACGCCCTTGTGCAGGGGATGAAGCTAGTCAATGGCTCAGTCTTGATCCTGGTGGACAGTTGGGAGTTCTGTAGTTACTTACAAGTGTACTATTTTAGCAAGAAGTTAAAAATGGCAGCGGGAGCTATTCACTTTCCACATTTCTAAGGTGCTTATCACTGGTTTTGGTGGTGCTTACCACTCTTTTCTCTTGGGTGGTATCCCCAGAGCAGAGCTGCTTCATGCCAGCAGGGCAGTGTTGCAAATTCTAGTTCATATGCTTTGGCTTATCTTAGTTTGGTCTCCAGGCTTCTTCTGAAGAAATCCTGTACTATGAGAGCTGTCTGCATTCTGCCCTGGAAGATACATTCTAGTGCGGACAGTCAACCACTACTTAAGCTCAGATAATCATTCTTAACTGTACAGTCCCATTTCAAAAGCTTGGTGTAGGATAAAAGAGATCATTAGTTGAAGCCTGCTGCTTTGTTTAACCACAATAATTTTGTCCTTGTTCTAGATCTGGCATGCTTGCTTTGTTAATCTTTTAGTGAAATACCCTATTGCTCAAACATACAACATACACATATAGTACAAAGACTGATGAATGGAGAAGTTGCCTTTTGTATTTTTTCACATGTATTTGGATTAATGTTACCTGAAATTAGCGCATAATCAAAGTATGTCCATAAGTGAACATATACTACATTTGCTTTCGCTTTTTGTCTTTTGCTGTCTGTTTTATCCAGTTATAACTGGGGTGTTTGTCAATAAATGTCTTACAAAAGCTTGTATGTGCCTCCTCCAATCATAACCAAACCTTTTAACTCACCAGTGGATGTTGAGTACTGCAGTCAAATTGCCCTTCCTGTCACACTTCAGTATGTCCTATTGCAGTTTTTCTACCTGAAATATTAGTAACTAGAAACTTCACTATGCAGTTACTTTGGAATACAAACCAAACTCTTAACTTGATCCCTTATGTGCTTTCTGTTTACCAAGCAACTCAAATACTTTCTTTAAAACTTAGTGCATCAAGCAAAATGCTGACTTAAAAAGTACAGTACCATGATGTATTTATTGAATTGTCATGTTTTAAAAGCCAGTTTGTTTTGTTCTTGGTAAACCATCATGCTTAAATAAATCAGTATTTTCCCAAATGACCATACCCTATATCTGCCCTATGTCTCTTTTTTTTCCCTTTTACCTTTTGCTGTCTAACTGGATGGGGCTGATGGGATCCACAAATCACTTCAGGAGCTGGATGAGGTATTGTTTTTCGCATTGTATTTTGACATAGTGCATCAAGTGTACATCAAGCCAAAATGTTCCTTTCTTTAGTCTTCCAGTTTATTAAATTTCATTATATAGGATGAAGTGTCTCTGCGTACAGTAGATGAACAAGGCTGCATAGAGAAAACAGTTTTGTAATATTACATTAACAGATACATGTATGGCTTACTAGTCTGGCTTACTGTTTATATAGTGGATATAGTGACTTTGTACAATGCCGCTATTAACTATTTTTTATGCTATACGTACATTGTACAAAGTGTTGCTCAGGAAAAAAGGTCAGGGGTGAAAATGGGCTTTCAAGAAAGAATTGCTTTTAATATTCAAAAAAATACACCCATCTGTAACTGCTGTACATCAGTGTGCATCAGTCTGCAATTGTGTAAACACGTGATTTGTTGTACCTCAGTTATTCAAATTATGGCTGTTACTTGGGATAAAGGGTTTCTTTTACTCCTTCCCCATCTCCAGCCTTCCTGTAGCTCTGTTGAAAGCTGTGTATAAGATGGATGTATAAGGCACATTGTCTTATTTACTCTCTGACAACCTCTGGAATTTCTTGGAGAATTATCCACCTATCTTCCTGCACGTTTCTTTGCCTCAGGCCATATAGCTGCAGTAGCAAGCATGTATCATAGGGAAGTGCGGATTCATCACTGCCTTGGCTATTAACTTCCAGTAAATAATTGAACAATTTTAGTTGTATGTCAGTTTGCAAGAGTGTTTGTTCCTCAGCTGCCTCATAGGTGAATGTCTGTCTAAATGCAGCATTGGTTGAGAACAATCATGGGATACTGTTTTTCTGTCTTGGAGATATAATAAATGTTTTTATTTGGAGGTTTTCCCAAGTGAGATTTTCAAACTTGCCTGGCCCAGTATACACCACTGATTAGAGATCCCTTGGCTGTTAATCATTATCTAGTGTAGCAACATCAGAATTACTTGAATTCTCACTGCAGTACCATGTTTTCTCCTTGAAAATTTACTGAGAACTTAGTCTAAGATAAACTTTCCTCTTTCAGATCCTGTAGGAAGTGGGAGGATGTAGGCATAGAGGGACAAACCAAGAGATGTAGAGCTTGGTCATACCTGCATCATGCACAGATTTTTGAGGTTAATTTTTATGGGAAGGCATATGTGCATTTTTTCCTAGTGCTCAAGGACTTGGATCTAATTTAAGTACAATTAATTTGCTGTCTTTTCTTACCTTCTGCAGCTTGCTGATGATCGCATGGCACTGGTATCAGGAATAAGTTTAGATCCCGAAGCAGCAATCGGAGTAACAAAACGTTTACCTCCCAAATGGGTTGACGGAGCAGATGAAGTAAGTTGTGTGGCAAATCCAACAGAGTTTGATTTCTCATGTAGGGTTATATTAGCATTGTCAGTTACATTCTTAATGCTGTAAATTCTATGATAAAGTAGTATTAGAAGCAAGATTGGAATCAGTGTGTTTTCTAAACTGACACATTTGTTTAGAGGAAAATATCAGGCAAGCTGTGTCTGATTATCTTGAACCATAGAATGCAAATGGAATAAAGGGAGATTAGGGTCAGAAATTCCAGCAGATTGGGTGTGCATCATCAGTGGAGCCCAGTATTAACAATACATTGGGACCATTAGAATAAATATGCTGAGCATTTAGCCTTGAGACTGCAGGAAGTTTCTCAGTTCCTTAGCAAAGCAAAGTGATTCTCAGTTTGAATCTTAAAAGCATACAGAAAAATTAGCCCTTCCAGTAGACTTTTTGTTTGACCCCATTGAGGGGATCATTATAATTTTATCATTATATAATGATAAAAATACTATTTCGATTTAATGAAGCATATTTGAAAACAGCAGTCTTGCCTTAAGATTAGTAAGAGTAGGTTTAAAAAGTAGCAAATTCATATATTCTCACAGCATATCAGTGTATTCAGTTACTACTAAGTCAGTTTTTTATGTGTTTAGGTTTTTTTAATGATCTTTGGTCTGCTTTTTATGTGATACAGACTTCTTGTCATTGTTTTTGTCTAGCATTTGTCAGAACCTTTTCCTATGAAATATCAGCCAAGTCACTTCATTGTTGATTTTTCTGGTTTAGATTCAGTATGATATCGCCAGGGTTAAACAGAAGATGAAAGAATTAGCCAGTCTTCATGATAAACATCTAAACAGACCAACACTGGATGACAGCAGTGAAGAAGAACGGGCAATAGAAATAACAACCCAAGAGATCACACAGGTACAGAGTGCTTTCAGTTCTGAACCTACAGCCTGACATATCTGCAGTACATCTTGATGAGGCAGTGGTTCCCTCTGAGTAAAGCATTTCTTTTATAATCAGTATTAAAGTGAGCCAGAATTCCTGGGCTCTGTGCTTGGTTCTACACTCACTGTCTCAGTAAACTACTCAACAAGTCACTTAACCTCCCTGTTCTTTTACTGACCTGTTCTTTTACTTGGAATAGGACTGGGAGACTTAACCAAATCACCTTTTCAGATATCTCAGAGAAATACATACATATGCAAATGTCTCTGGGCAGAAGTAGTTGTGTTACTCTACTACCCTGTTAGCTTTAGGTTGTCTGTTCATTTATGTTCTGTATTTCCATACTTCTTAAACATAGCACTGAGCAGTAAGAAAACTATTCTTAAAATCTAGGAATCAAAACATTACTCTTCCATTTTGAACTTTTGCAATGTGATACTTAAAGTGTGTGTTATTGTGTGTGTTATTGTGTGTGTTTTACTAATGGAATTGTTTTCTCAGTTATTTCACAGATGTCAGAGAGCAGTCCAGGTCTTGCAGAGCAGGTCGCGTAGTTGTACAGAACAAGAAGCACGTGTTCTCAGGAATGTAGTGTCTTCCTTAGCACAGTCCCTTCAGGACCTATCCACCAACTTCAGGCATGCACAGTCTGACTATCTCAAACGTAAGCATAAGAGATACAGTAATATATGAGATACGGTAAAATACATGGGCATCTTCTGTGGAAACCACTAGCTAAGGTGTGCTGATTTTCTTGGTTGGGGAAAACTGAATGACAGAAGGTTAAATGATGCACACAGGATTACCAGAAGTTTATTACAGTGGGGGTTAGAATCTGGGAGTTTCCGGTTCACAGCCCATGTTCAAACTGCTTTATTCTGCCTCTATTTCATATTGCTAAAGGAGAAACTTCATAGTTAAGTATATCAAACCCGGTATATTTCATCCATCCACACTTTTAATGCATGGTTGCTTCTCAAACTGTGGTCGCAAAGCTACTTCTGTTACACTGGTGAAGCAGGCAGTGGTCAACAGACACCATATCTGCTGTTGATTGGCAGTCTGTGATAGATAAAGTTTCAAAAGGTAGTTAAAGATAAATTAAAAAACTGTATCCATAAAGAGATTGGAAGTGGAATATTCTCTGTTAAAAACTCTAAAATTGTGTGCAATTCTGTTTTCAACTAAGTAAGATTAAAGTAATCTTGGGAGAAACCCACAAAAATTTAATGTTCAAATTTAATACTGATAAAGTATATCCACCTGTGCCATTTATACCATGGGAGGAAGAACTTAAGATCACAATTCAGACAAGGGATGTTCCTAAGAGAATGTGTTAGAAAACAGCCTCGAGTGATCATACGTGAAGGCTTTTAACTTAATTTTTTGAACTTCATAAAAAGCAATGACTTAAAATCACTGATTTAATACTTATAAGTTGGGTTGAATTTGCTGTGGTTTGTTGTAAGCCTGTGTTACAGTTAAAATTTAGATACTGCTATTTGTCATTTATTAGCCACGTTTTTCTTTCTTGTGCTTTTCTGTCTGGTGCTCCAGATCTTACTCTTGATTTTAGTGTGTGTAAATATTATGTTCAAACATAGTTTGTCTTTTACAGGCATGAAGAGTAGAGAAGAAAGATCCAAACACTTCTTCGACACCTCAGTCCCACTGATGGATGATGGGGAGGATGATACACTTTATGATAGAGTAAGTTGTTACAACACAAGTTCAATACAAAGAAACTTTTTAATGTACCTTTAATCATAGTATGAAAATATCAAAATAGTATGTCACGAGCAGCAAGCTACATGGAAATTCTGTTTCTGCAGATTTCTGTGACACATTTTTCTAATTAGTATTGCTGTTGTGATTGTGCTGTCAGCCTCAGTGCTGCAGTGTGAGGGAGCTCAGTTTGACTACTGAATTCTCCTTACCTGACTGACAGACAATAGAAGGTCTGTAAATACAGTGATGTCCTTTATCATACCATCTTTCTGGTCAGATGCAAGGGTATTTGCTAGAAAAGTGTGTGATTCTGAGTTTGGATGGAAGGTGACATTCTTTAAAGTGAACTTTCAAGTGTAACCAATGATTTTCAGTATTACACGTTGTTGCAAATAATGGTGTAGTGATTTATTTCTGCACAGTTAAGTTGCTGTGTTGTGGAACTGTACCAGACCCACTTTGGTTTACTTTGTTGTAGAGTTTGGGGATTGCATTTCTAAGCAATGGTAGGATCTGTTCTATTGTGTCCTATCTAATAGTGCCGCAAAATACTATTAACTATAATGCTTAATATTTAACTGAAAACTTACTGAAAAAATCAAGGCAGTTTTTCAGCTAATCTTGTGTATAAGAGATTTTTCACCTATTTCTAAATAAGAGTTATGGGGGAAGGATTATGTTCAGTTTTGAATGGCATTGGGAGACAAAATGACTGAGGAATCAGAATTGCTGCTGTGTCTTTACACTTTGGCATAATGGGACTCTCTAACCCAGATCAATCAGGAGGTATTCTGTAAATACTAGACACTTGCATGTATTGGTTTTGTACTCTAGTAAAAACACTGCTTTAGGACAGATTGTATTTTAAAAAGTTGTTCATGTGTTTGGGCAGGATGCAAGATATGTATTTTCTCTGCTCAAGCTATAAATAGCTGTCCGTGTTCTTTTAGTGACCCCAAAACTATCTTCAAAATACATTTTTTTTCTTAGATATGGGTCTGCTAAGGATATTCCAAAAGGACTGTTGTGTTACAAAATCTGACAATCCTCATAATGATTTCTAGTGTTTTCATGCTGTTAATGTTAGTTCAACATACAAATCTTTTATTTCAACAGGGTTTTACAGATGACCAGCTAGCACTGGTGGAGCAAAACACATTAATGGTGGAAGAGCGGGAACGAGAAATCCGTCAGATTGTACAGTCAATCTCCGATCTCAATGAAATATTTAGGGACTTGGGAGCAATGATAGTAGAACAGGTACATTGAAATCACAGTGTTAGTAAGAAGTAAGAGCTTTCTCATAGTGTTAAGGTTTCTGGACTCTTCCTGTTGTAACATCCTGTTTTCATATGCTTCTCGCTTTTCTGAATTTACCTCTTCAGGCTAAGATTTTCTTTGCTTGAAATCTGCCAAAAGAGTTAATGAAAATAAATACATAGATAAAAATTCAACTGGTTATAGTTGGTAAGCTAAAAAAATAGAATGCAGAAGTTCTGTTGCATATTTCTCGCACCTGAACTCGAAGTAAGGTGATTAAGGGAAGAGATGTGAGATGGTGACAGAGCTGCCAGTTAGGCTTTGAGCAAGGAGTTTGTTTAATGAAGACCAAGCTAGAAGACCCCCCATAAAAGTTTGTAGTTTACACAGATCATTAGCTGTTTTCTGTGAGCGTTGTTAATGACTCTGCTGCTCATAATAAAAATCACTTTATGAAGTTCATTTAGGTTCAGTTTGGTGCTCATTCTCTTCATTTTATTCAGGGAACAGTTCTAGATAGAATTGACTACAATGTTGAACAGTCATGTATGAAAACTGAAGAGGGTCTAAAACAACTACATAAGGTAAGCTCACAGAATACTTAAGCTGCCTTGCATACCTAATAATATTTTATAATTTAATAGCCATTAAGTTATTCAGTTATTTTTCAACTGGACATCATCCCTTTCAGAAATGGTTGCTGTGCTGTATAAAATGTCCAGCTGCACTGTAGTAGGAGCTTTTTATGTAGCTTCTGTTAATGTTGTGCTTGATGCTAAGTGTTAATTTCTGAAATAACTTTCTGGGCATCCAAGTGGTGTGCTTTGATGTTTGTATTGCTGACCTGGATGGTTGTGTCTGAAATTCCTTTTCTATTTGGAGAGCCCAGCACTTGTGAAATAAGACTGGTTATTGGGTACCTCATTTAGATCTCAGTGAGTTGATACATACTCCTTTGAAAACATTATCTCAATAATTTGAGCATCAAGAATACTTTTTAATGTTTTCTCTTACCATCTGTCACATGTTAGAAATTAGGTCTGGCCTTATGCTTTTAATGTGAAGTTCTTACGATGAACATCTGAAAAGTCTGAATTGGCAGCAGAACAGACAGTCGTGTGGTTGTTTTGCTTTGTTGGCTTTTTTGTTTTGATTTTAAGCTAAGTCCTGACTTGTCAGCTCAGTTCAGTCCTTCCTTTGCTGGACACTGAGTAAGAGATTTATGCAAAAACCTCTTAAGTGAAACACTCTGTTTTAGAAACATGGACACCTTATTACTACACACTCAACTTCTTCATATTATCATAGACTTTTAATATATGGAGAGCCAAAAAGTACCATTTCAGGAAAAGTGGAATAAATTGGTTATAGGTTTATTCTTATTATAGATAAAAGTAGACTGGAGATCACTAAAATAAGGCATTGACCACTGGTGAGTAAAGCTTAAAGTAATTGCAATCAATTTGCACAAACTGAACTGGAAATAAATGAATTAGTTGGAACCAATTCTGTTCTAGTTAGTGGTAGTTGATGAATCATCAGCAAGCCCCTGAGTGGACTGTTGACTGACTAGAGTAGGGATTCTGATGCAATATATACCTGTTTTCAGTACAGCATAGCCATTTCTTCACCTGTCATGGAAGACACACAGAGAGGTCTGAATAGTAATATCAAACACAGATAGCTTGCTGTTTGTAATACTGTAGGTAGCTTTATTCTGATTCAGTGTCTTGAACATACTGAATAAGAAGCAAAAAGCAACGCTTTCTTTAGCACCGTTCCCAGACTAAAGTCAAAACCACAGCAGTGAACCAGCTACTAAGGAGAAAATTGACTACTACTGCTGAACCCAGGATATAGTTCTAATGTCATTTCTCTTTTCTGATTTGATTGGCATAATTACTACAAACTACTGAGACAGCATTTCCACAGGAACAGTATTAACTCACTGCAGAAGGCTGGTGATAATAAATCACTAGTTACCAGTTCCTGCTTCACAGGAAAATTGGAATCAGTTGTGATAATTTTTCAGGCTTTGATGCTTACAGCCTTAATTAAGTAAATAATCACAGAGGTTGAGTGTTACACAGTCCCAGGTCAAAACCTCTTTAGCAGATCTGATCATAAATATTTACTTTCTAGGGACTATAAAGGAGAAGAATTACTATTTTTTGCCTTTAAATTTTGAAGGTTTGTTAATTTAAAAATAATTACATGCAAGTTTTGTTTAGCGTCTATTAGCAGACTTTCATTTAGCTTTTGGAGAGTTTTCTCCACATTGCCTCCTTTTAATTCCCCTGAAAAAAAGAGGGAAGGGAGAAGATGTGATTAGAAGAAAGAAGGAATGAAGCAGAAAACTGAGAATAAAATAAAAAAAGAAAGCTTTCAGTTCTAATTGAAATTAAATGAAAGTGCACAGCTGCATCAGGTACAACAGAAATGCCTATTAAAGAATGAAGTTTTGTTGTGAATTTTCATGTGCTTCAAATATACTGGAATCTATACCAGAAAAACGATCTAAAACACCTTTCCAGTTTTTACTCTCCAGACTTTCACATACCAGGTGTTCTTCCAAGTGAAGTATCACCCTTCTGTGTAGCTCAGGTGTCCTGTGGAGGCACAGGGCCCTCTCTAGTGCTGCTGAGAAGAATTTGCTTAACCAACATGAGGATGCATTTTTCTTTATACAGCCTCCTCTTTGAGACAGATAAATGTGACTTTAGTGTACACTTACCTTCCCTGGAGCCTTCAGTGCAGACCAGAGTTACTTTGTGAGAGTTGCTTGCAATAGACATTGTAAGATGTGTCAGGTTGCCAAAGAACAATTCTGAGATACATGCACTTTCCTTCCAAGGCTCTTGTTTAGTGAACTTCATAGCTTTGCAGAAATCTAGGTATTAACTCTTTCTTTTCTGTTTCTATAGGCAGAGCAATATCAAAAGAAGAATCGGAAGATGCTTGTTATTTTAATTTTGTTTGTTCTAGTAATTGTCCTTATTGTTGTTCTTATTGGTGTCAAGTCACACTAGGTATCATTTCATTTTCTCATTTTTGGAGTTTCTGTGAACTTTCTTCCCCAATGTGAATGGATGGGCCTGCACTCCAGAAAGCTGCCTTTGAATGTATAAGCCCTTGTGGTGCAAAGTCTGTGCAATGTTTCTGTAGAATTCTTTAAAGTACAAGTTTGGTGGTCTGTGAGGTGTTTGTGAGGTTTATATGGAAAAAGTCAGGAAATTTGGTGCTCCCACACAAAGAATTTGGTGCTTTATGCAGAGCTATTTGGAAATCCAGTACTTAAAAATAATTACAAAATTGAAGCTTACCAGTGAGTACAGTAATTAGTGTGTTACTGTGAACAAAAACGTGTTGTCTGCTGTATTCTTATGTCACAATTGTTACAGGCTTCAAATATAAACCATGTTACTGAGCCAGAGGACTAGATAACAAAAATGGATCTAGATGAAAAATATGCTAAGGCACAAAAATGTTTGACTTTAATCTCCTTTCTTCCAGACTCAAAAACTCCAGAGAACTGCATAGACAGCTAAAACAGAAAGCTTTTAGCTACCAGAGTGTAATCCAGCCCCTGTGATCTTAATTTAGATACTATACCATTACTGAGAATCAGAGCAGTACTTGATCTTTTAAATAACGAGATCTAATCAGTGGCATAATTTAACACATTTAGTTAATTAAAACATTTTCTGAGCTTGAGTAATCATGGAAGGTTCTTCCTCACCAGAATGATCAGATATTTTTTTTTCATGTACCTTTTTTTACTTTAAAGTACAGACATTACATTAAAGCAGTGTTGAAGTTAAACCTAAAAATGGAGTAGAAAGCTGAAAAGAGAATCCCAACCTGACCCACCATAATGGGTATCAGATTTTAGTTGTTGTATAAGCTGTTTATTTTACAGTGCATCTGTCCTGTTTGTTACGGGTTTTATATAAGAACTGACTTTGCTACATATTATATTGCATCCATTTTTCCTGACAGAAGATTTTCTTTCACATGTCTGCCTGAAAGAGGACATGTTTATGGTCTTTTACTGACTGTGAGAGGTGTCATGCAAGTGACACGTTACTAGGCCTTCAGTAGAGAATTTGGGGGTTTTTTCACTATTTTTTTTCAGTGGAAAACTTTACTGTAGGCCATAAAATTGAAATTAGGGCCACATCAAAGTAATATAACACTCCTGATTTAATTCAGGCCTGAAGTGGTGTGCAATTGTAGAGGCCTTATCATTTTTAATATAGCTTTTCTGTAGGGATTTTTTTTCTTCCCCAAAGGGGCTGTAACTTCCTTCATTTTCTGATTGATAGAGTGCTCCCCATAAACTTGCAGAGATGCTCTGCTCAAAGCCCCTCAAATGCAGTTTTATAATACTATAATATAAATGTATATGTTGCTTGCCCTGAGTTTATTTTATTAAGGAGGACTTAAGATGAGGCTTTAAACTGACGGTGTAGGAATGAACCTGAAAGGAAGACTACAAAGATGTGAAAGCCTTGGCTTTTCGTGAAAAGCTTTGTACCACTCTTGTTACCTCTAGACAAAGGGGATGTTGGACTTCCTAAACTGCCAGTTGAAACCACTGATTAAATTAAGAAGTTGGTAAAAGACAGAAGGATGCTTGTAGTTGGGTGTGCAGCTCCCCTGTTCTGGTAATGGATCTTTTCAATGATCATGAGTAAAACTACTGTTTCCCTTGTGTGCTGTATACATCGGTTGGTGTGAAGCAGCATATTGCTATAATTTAATATACTGTATTTGCAACTTTCTCCTTAACGTGTTATTTATTTCTGTCTTGACTGGTGCTTTTGACATTTTATCATGGCTAATGAATTCAGAGAAGTAATAAAACACTTCCAGCCCAACTGAGCAAATACTCATTTTTTTAAAAAGGTATAGACTGAAACATACTTATGTGATGTTAATGCTTCCATTTAGTTCTTTATGACTAAATGAAACTGGCAGTGACATAGGATATCTTTGCAGAAAAAAATAGTCACTTTCTGTAGCACGATGTAGCTTGCATTGTTGAAGATGCATGATTTATGCCCATGGTATCTTAACACCACTGAAGTAACTGGCTGCATATTTTCTATACAAATTCTGTAAGAGGATGTGCATTTTTAATATGCATCAGACGAGATTAAACTCGGTTGTAAATTGTCCTGTGTGACCTGAGCTGGGATTTTATTGAAGCTGATTATATTGAGGGGAAAAAAAAAAATCAAACTGCAACAGGCTTCTAAATCATTGCAGGGGTCTCGCTTGTGGGTCAGTCTAAATACCTGTCCTCAGCTCAATGAAACCCTTATGCTGTGCTTTGTAAGAGTATCTCCACGTGGTGTGCTGCAGCAGGGGTACTGTCTGCCATTGGGCCATGAAAGCTGCTGCAAGTGAGGAGCGTTGGGCTTTACTAGTGGCTGCTGACTACTCGGGTGTCACTGGAGCTGCCTGAACCTACTGACTGCGCTGCTGTCCTCCTCGGAAGCACCTCCGTGAGCTGCTGCAGGGAAAGCTGGTGCACTCTGTCCTGCAGATTGTGGCCTCTCCATGGTTACTGGAGTCTTCTTGGATTGTATTTAACCTCCGATTCCTTACAAAGGAACACAACAGCAATGGTAGAGCATCTGCCGAGAATCTGGCTCCTCACCTGGTGGGAATAACCTATAAAGCTGTTGGCTTGAGCAGAATTTCTCCTGTTTCTCTAATTTTTTTTTTTTTTTGGTGTATGTTTCGTCTGATATTTAACTTCATGAGAAACAAAAAAGGGGAATTTAGCTTTTTCCGTTGTTATCCCTTTGTAACTTCTTCACACTTACAAGATGCAGACTTTCCATCCCAAAATGGTATTATGAAGGACAAGTATAGACTTTCATAGGCCAGTTTTGAGTTGGAAAGGACCTTAAAGCTCATCCAGTTCCAACCCCCTGCCACGGGCAGGGACACCTTTGGCTAAAGCAGGTTGCTCAAAGTGCTGTCCAACCTGAGATAGCTGGGTTAGTTAGTACTCGGACCTTTCCCTCTCCGTACGGTTTGATGCCTGCAGCAGGACGAGCGCCTTGCTCAGGAGCATGACCGGGTGTTATTACCCTTTTCCTCTGTAACCCCGATCTACCCGTGCGTTCTCCGAAACCCGGCTCAAACATGAAGGCCTGGCAGGAAGCCTTTCCCCAGAGCAGATCTCCCAGCACAGTGCGGGAGAGCCCCGCTGGGAGGGGCCGGTTACACAGCGGTCTGGGTACTCCCCGCTTCCCAGGGCCGCGCCCGCTCCCTCCGCCTCATCCGGGTCCCGCGCCCAGCCCGTCCCTAGGCGCTGCCCGCCTGCGATACCCGACGCTGCCGCCAGGGGCCGCCCTCGCCGCTGTGGTGCCCGCCCCGCGGAGCCGGCGCCGGGCGCTGGGGCGGAGCCGCGCGGTCAGGCCGGGCCGAGCCGCGCCGAGCAGGGTCGGTCCGGGGGCAGGAAGATGGCGAACGTGCAGCTGGAGTTCCAGGCCAGTGCGGGCGAGGCGGACCCGCAGAGCCGCCCGCTGCTCGTCCTGGGCCAGCTCCACAACCTGCACCGCCTGCCCTGGGCCCAGCTGCGGGGCAAGCTGCAGCCGCGGGTCACCGAGGAGGTGAGGCCGGGCCCGGCGGGAGTGCGGTGGCCCCGTCCCCGCCTTCACCCCCTTGATACGGCGGCCCCAACGCGGAGGGAGCGCGGCCCCCGCCCGGCACTGCCCCCTGGGTCCCTCGAGGCCGCGCCCTCCGGCCCCGAGCGGCCGCGTGGTGCGGGGCAGGCGGGGGCTCTCCCGGCCTGCGGGTGCTTGCGCGGCGCCGGGCCTGTCGGCGAGGGGCCGGCCCTGAGCCCCAGAGCCCCAGGGTTTGCCCTGTGAAAGCCCCTCGGAACGGCCCTTAACGGGCAAATAGTGACATGAGCCGGTCGCGGCTCAGCGGGCCGGGCTTGGAAGCGGCGGCGGGCAGCGGCCGGAGCCTGTTGTTGCGGCGGGACCCGTGCAGTTGCTCCCCAGCCGTGGGTGAGGCACCGCGGCTCCGCTCCCCCGCAGTTGGCGGCGTTGCCGGTTGCGGTTCTCCGGGAGCGGGAGGCCGAGCCAGCCCTGCGGGGTGGCGGTGCTGCTGGGGGCTCAGGTGGCTGGTGGCAGCACAAACAGGCTACATCGCGGCTTCTGGGCCGCTGTGTGTGTGTGAGGCTGTTCTGCGCTCCCTGGTCTCTCACAACAGTATTTAGCCTCTTTATTATGTATTTGTTTTTAATTAAATTACTGTGTGAAGCAGTAAATGAAGACTAGGAAATCAGTCATATATTTATCACTAGTGAAATTTTCTCAGTTTGAAATTCTGAAGCAGCCTTTGCATTAAATAGTGTGGTTTTACATTTTAGCTCCTGTGGCTTGTAAGAGACGGTTGCAGTGGAAAGCGCATTTGTGATTTTTGGTTAATAAACGGGTTTGTCGTATTTCCTTGTTTTGTTTTACTCAAGAGGTTATTGCATTTAAAAGCTTGCACACAATTTCTTTGTTCCAATACTTAAAATCCTGTAAAGAGTTTCAGAATACAGTGGGAATGAGAGGGGAAGAAAAGTCTGATGCAATTCTTTGTCTTCAAACTCCTTTTTTATCTCCTCAGATATGGCAATCTGCTTTAAGCACTCTGAATCCAAACCCCACCGACAGCTGTCCTCTCTACCTGAATTACGCCACTGTGGCTGCTCTGCCTTCCAGGGTCAGCCGGCACAACAGTCCATCTGCGGCGCAGTTCATCACCCGCCTGGTTAGAAATTGCCTTCCAGGAGGTGTCAACAGATGTATTGTAGTAAGTGGCTGCTTGAAAATGCTTCTGGTGCAATGTCTAGTCAAGTGTTTTTTCAACTTCTCATGATTTTAAGCTGTCTCCAAGGAGACTGGAGGTGGACAAGTTTTACAGATATAATTATACTGACATTTATAAGTGGTTTTGCACTGACACGTAAACAAGAGCTAACTATAACAGCTTATGCATGCTCAGGCAGTTGGAGGGAATTAAGGCTGGATGTGTATGGAATGTTTTCAACTAGAAGCGGCCATGCAAAGGAAACCAGTAGTGGCTTTTTTCAAACTAGGGTGTATGATGTTAGCACATGGTTTAGAAGGTTGGCATAGCCTGCGTGTAGGATGCTTTATCCATACTGTGCAACCCATTTATGGTGCCTTTTTATGTTATTCAGTGAGTTTTAAAAGTCTTAATGCAAACCAATGCTCCAGTGTGAGTCGTTTGCAGGACAAGCTCTTGGACTGTTTTGGTCATCTTCTCTATGAGCCTGATGAGTTTATTATTTTTTTCTATGGCTTTTCCAGATTAATTCAGATTCTGAGGTTGTTAGAGAAGACTCTTACAGTCAGTAACAAAATGTGTAATTATACCTTTCACTTGGAAAACTTATTTGGAAGAGTAACAACTCTACTTAGTAATTTTTTCCCCTATAGTTAACTTTGAAGATATTTACCTATAACTGCTTTCCATTGGTAATTTCTGTAAAGAACTCCAGGAAAATGTTGTACATGGTTAAAAGCTTTTGGATTAATCTTAGCCACATTCTCATATAATTTTCCTCTGTTTCATTTGTTTTATGAACACATATTGATGGTTCCCAGGCTGGTTTTTGTTGTCTTGATCTGTAGGCTAATCTATGTTAGTTGTACTAGTGTAACTAAAGCAGTCCAGCACTCTTACAAGGATGTACTAATTCCTACACAGCCAAGTCCAGCAGTGTAATTCCATACAGGAAATGAGCAGAATCAGTTTGGTGTGGTACTGGTTGTACTTCCCCTCCATCCATGCAAAACATAACATATGCCTTGATTCAGATATCAGTTATTTCCCACCCACCTCAGTTTTTTATTCACCCTTTTACCAGTAATACCACAGGTCCTTTTAAATGGAGTCTTCCACATCCATGATGGTGTCTGACTTGTTTGTATTCTGGCTTGTGTTTCAGATGGTCTGTGAACGGTCTGAAGTCTTCGCTTCTGCTTGTGCATTGGCCAGGGCGTTCCCATTGTTCACGCATCGGTCCAGTGCATCAAGACGCACAGAGAAGAAAACTGTAACAGTAGAGTTTTTCCTGGTTGGACAAAACAATGGACCAATAGAAGTGGCAACACTTAAAGTAAGATTTTTTGGTCTTTTCCGTAATTTTTTTTTTTCCATTATTCCTTGAAATATCTTTTATTTGGTTTTTTTTTTCTGTTTGTTGCATGCACAAATATATGTCTCAGGCTGCATACAAATAGGTGTTGTATCTAAACTAATAAACTATCCTAGATCAAAGTTCCTTGAAATTGACCAGCTCACAGCTGATTGAACATGAATTGAATATGTTACTGCAGAAAAGGCTCAGGATGTTACTTAAAATTTAGATTTCAGGGATGGAAAACACCAAACAAATAGCTCAAAGACAATGTCTCCCTTGTCATGTTTATCATAGATGCAGATAGTGTATTTTTAACTTTTAATGTTACATTGCTTTTGGTGTGTGGGCTTCTCAGTTTCTTTTACCCGGGCAAAATTTGTTTGTAGCTGTAAAGGTGAATATCACAGTGAAGTCACTAAAACTTGCTTATTATGGAAGCACATATGGCCTCTGCTATTTCTATCTGATATAACTCTGGCTGAGTTTTTCTAGCAGAGCTGTAGCAAAAAACAAGACCCTAAAAAATTATATAGCTTAGAGATGAACTATACATAACAGTTAAATAATTTAAGTCACCTTTCCGTAGCAGATAATCAAAGACTGTTTCCCTTGCACCTATTACAAAGAGGAAACTCCACATCAGGTAACTTCTAGTATGCTAAGTCATTCCTCTCCAAGATCCTGACTTAAAAGCTATTC